GACTGTGTTGAGTCTGTTTCTTCCCATTCCATGCAAGGCCACCTGGGTTGGCTGGAAGACTGTTTACTTAGCCTGGCAGGGCGAAGGACACTGTCTCAGCTGAACTCTGCACACACACACACAGACACACACACAAACATATACACATGCAGATGTACACTCATCCTCCCTCCCTTTCCAAACGCCTTCGACGCTAATTCCCTTCCGATGCTGACGGTAGATCATGGAGACCAGCGCTTATGCTGCAGGCCCGGATGTGCTGTCTACACTGGCTGTCTCTCACCCTTTACCTGTGGCTTGTGTTTCTTTGGTGTATTAAGAGTTTTTCATGTGCAGAGGTGTTTTTTTTTCTGTTCTCAAACTGATCTCCCTGTTGGAGCTCAGTCTGGGGGGAGTTATTTATTTCTCCTTATCTTTCCTCATGTGGTGCATTTCCATTGTTATACCTCTCTGACCTGTCTTCCCCATGTGATGTTTGTGTAATGTATGTATGGTCGGAGGGTAAGATGGCGCCGCCATTGCGTGCAATAGGTCGGCAGCCTTATGAAATTTCCCCTTGTGGGACTAATGAAGGCATCTTATTTTATCTTAAAAGGAACAAATGGGAACACAGCTGATGGCAACTAACACAATGATGTGAGAGGAAGTCAAACTAAATACAAGACACAGAGGGCAGTCACCAAAATAAAACAGGAAGAGGAACATAACAGAATGTGGAGACAAGATTAACTTGACAACTAAACAGGGAAACAATGGAGACAGGACACAGAGAGACAGACATGGGGACAAGACTGAGGGAACAGAAAGGAAAACAATCAACCTGAAGTCCTCTGTCACTAACTAGAGACACAAATACCACAACAAAGAACCAACAAAGGGATCAGGAAAACTCAGAAGCACAAAGAACCCAAAACATTAACAGAAACGAGGAGCATAAATTACTTCTAAAAAACAAAAACAAATAATGAAATTACAAAACTCAAAGTCCTGATGACTCAGAGACCCTGACAGTTTCCTCATACAGAGAAAGAAGGCTGTCAGTGTGTCAGAGCCTGCTGATTTACACTGATTTAGATTCAGTAACATACATGTGGTGGCACAAAACAAACTGTGTTTTTCACAACTGAAACCAGAGAGAAGAAGAACAATGTTTCAGTCACAGTAACAGAATCAGAGGTTTAACAGTGTGTGGCTCCCTCTAGTGGATGTTGTGGAGTATTCTGTTGTCTTTGCTCCAAAGGTTTTTGTACAGAGTTTTGCTGTTTCCTGTCACTGTGGGCTGCAGAGCACAGTAGTACACAGCAGAGTCAGACACTGCAGCAGAGGAGATCTCCAGATGAAACTCCTTTTTTTCTTTGTCATGTATAAACTTCAGCTTTTCTGTTTGCTTTGAATAATCTGCCATGAGAAGCTGTGGACGTGAACCGGACTTCTGATGGTACCAGAAAAGTGTCTGAACTACAGCTGAATAGTTGCAGGAGAGAGTCACAGTGCCTCCTTCCAAACTCATCACTACATCTTTAGATGGTGTCAGTAAATCCTCAGAGGATCCTGAAAACAACAAA